AGCAGGCAGTGCCTCTGCCAGACATCCCCCCCCCCCGCCCAGTTAACTTTTAACCCCACTGGGGCTGATGGACAGCAAGTGGCTTCTGCCTTCGACTCTGCCCAGAGCATCTTGTTGAAATAGCCCTGCTCCTTATTGATATGGTTCACAGAGAGACTGCTACTCCATGGGAGACACAAAAATGCTGAGAACGGCCTTCTCCCTGCTTTCATTCTAGCCTCACTACAACCGCCTGTGGGCAGCCCAGGTGAGAGAGTGACTCGCCCAAGGGCAGCCCTTGACTGCATCCGTGGCGGGGGGGGGGGGTCCTCCAGGACTCTAACCGGGGCTCTAGCCACAATGCCCTTTTCACAGAGCAACTTGAAAGAAAGATCTGACTGAGGTACAGGACATGGGGTTATATCTATTCTACATAAGGCAAGATTGCATGAAACACATGGACTCAACTTTAATAAGAACGTGTTTTAATGAATGCAAAAAAGGTGTAGTGCTACCTGGCAAACCAAAACAGAAAGGGGGGGAAACCCAACCCAAAGAAACAACAAAGTCAGGTAACCAACAGTTGGGTGAAAGAAAATTATGAAAAATATAATGTATGTATTTATTATTTTTCTAGGGGAATCTTGATTCAAATTCAGTATGGCACAAAGAGCTTTTAATATAGTTAGCTATTCTGATTATCATATAGCCTCTTTACTAGATCAGCCAAATTTCTTTGGCTGCAGTTTGCATTTGGGGGAAGGAAGCAATCTATGGGATGGTTTCAAATGGTCTAATGTAAGGGAAATGATAATAGACAACCTGGGGCATTGAGAGATTACTCCAGAAACAGGCTATGTGTAAAAAAAAGCTCCCGGAAGATTGAAAACTAGGCGATTTCAATCAAAGCTACCTTGAAACAGCCATGACAGAAAGCTCCAGAATGGAAAAGGAAATAGTACAATTTAAGGAAAGTATTCAAACAACCTTGGGTGAAAAGGTGCTCTCTGATAAAATGAGTGGTTCAAGGAAATTCAAGAACAATTTCTAGAATTAAAGAAGATTCAATTTAAAAATCTTTAGAGGGATTATGAGGATCACAGGGTCTATAATTGGACATTTCATAATCAAAGTCCCTGTGGTTTAAAAAAAAGTGTCCTTTATATTAATGACACAAATCCAACACCTATTTAGGAAGATTAGACTAGCAGATTATTTTAAGAGGAATAATGAGGCCAGTAATATACAGTCACGTAATGCATACTTGAAGCCATTGTCTGCGTTTAACACACCCCCCCCAAAATTCCAAGGATTCTTGTATTTCAAGACCTAATCCTGGAGAAAATAAGCAGACTAGAGCATGCAGACATACCAATCTGGCATAAAATTAAACAAACCGGGGGGAAAGGACTTTAGAACAGCTTTGCCAACATAGTGATATTATTTTTAAACGAGCTGATAAGGGACGTGCTCTTCTAGTGTGGGACTGAGAAGACGATGTTAAAGAGGCCTATAGACCACATTATGCTGAAAATCCAAACAAGAGAATTAAGATGGAAATGCTGGAGGAGGGCCAACTATATTGACAAACCCAAGTGCAGTTTCCTCCTGCAAACGTAAAATAGGGTGCCACAGTTTTATTTATGCCCAAAATACATAAAAGTATGCTCCCAATCCCAGGAAGACCTATAATATCCGGTTGTGGATCAGTTTTGGAACCTTTAGCTTTCTGTGTTAATGTGTTTTAAACCACTAGTTCCCAATACTAGATCCTATTTAAGGGATATAATGGTTTTTTTAAAAAACCACACTAACAGTATACAATTACATACTGAGGAGGTGTTATTCGTGACACTGGATGCTGTTTCCTCCGCTGTCCCACAGGATGAGGCTTTGGATGTTTTACGTGAGATGCTTGATAGGCGATAGCAGAATTCAACGACATCTTTTCTGTGCTAGACAGCGGAATTATGCCTTAAAATTTTCAATTTCAGAACAGCTTTTTTGAGCAAGTTTCTGGCACTACTATGGGCTGCAAGTTTGCTCCTGAGTTGGCCAGTTTTTTTGATGGAGGAATTAGAAAACAACTTTATTCTTCAGGAAAACAACATCTATATGAAATACATTGGCCGTTATAAAAGATACCTGGGTTATATTTACATTGCCTGCGAGGGCACTGAGGAACAACTAACTTCTTTTGCTCAAGATTAACACTGTCCATAATACAATTAAATTTGATATGACACATAATAGGTCTAGATTAATTTTTTAAGATATTGAGGTTAAAAAGATTGGTACCACAATACAAACTGATGTCTACAGGAAACCTACAGATGCCAATTCCTGTCTAGCAGGGGATAGCTTCCATCCATATCATTGAAAAAAGAATTTGGCCTATTCCCAACTTTTGAATAAAGAAGGAATTGTCGTTTGGATTCAGATTTCTACAGACAAGCAAAGGAATTGATCAGTCAACTGGCCAATAGGGGTATTCATCTAAAACTTTAAAACAAGCCTTTTGTTAGGCCAAAAACACTCCAAGATCATCTTTGTCGATACCCAAGGTTAGAAAACAAACTACAAGATAGGATGGTCCCCACTGACGTGTATGCACCCAAGTAAGAGGAATAATACAAAGATACTGGTGCCTCCTGTCTGGTATCCCAAGGTGCAATTCTTTTTACTTTTAAAAGACCCAGAAATCATAAGGACATGCTAGTGAAGTTTACAATAAGAGAATTCACTACTAAAAATACAACAATTGATGATAAAAATGCCAAAAGGAAATTTCCCTTGTGGACATTGTTCTGTGTGTGCCTGTACTGTTAAAAGGGAAACATTTCAGAATTCATCTAATAACATAAGAGAAGCCAATGTTGGATCATGCCAATGGCCCATCTAGTCCAACTCTGTGTCACACAGTGGCCAAAAATACCAGGTGCCATCAGGAGGTTCACCAGTGGGGCCAGGACACTAGAAGCCCTCACACTGTTGCCCCCCCATCAAGCACCAAGAATTCAGAGCATCCCTTGCCCCAGAGTTCCTATCTATACCTTGTGGCTAATAGCCACTATGGATCTCTGCTCCATATGTTTATCTAATTCCCTCTTGAAGCTGTCCATGCTTGTAGCTGCCACCACCTCCTGTGGCAGTGAATTCCACGTGTTACTCTATTTATTTATTACTTTCCATTTATATCCCGCCTATGCCAGGGCAAACTGGCTCAAGGCAGCTCTTTGGGTGAAGAAGTACTTCCTTTTATCTGTTCTAACCCAACTCATTGAGTACCCACAAATTCTTGTATTGTGAGAAAGGGAGAAAAGGACTTCTTTCTCTACCTGCTCTACCCCATGCATAATCTTATAAACCTCGCTCATGTCACCCCTCAGCCGTCGTTTCAAGAGCCCCAAGCACTTCAACCTTTCTTCATAGGGAAAGTGTTCCAAGAATATTTTATAAACTCTAGAGGGATAATATAATATGTTATACAGTGTCCCTGCAATCTGATGTTCGTAGGTATGACAACAAGACCAGTTAAGACACATATCTGTGAATGTAGGAGCTGCATTAGAACAAGAAAGCTGACAGCTCCATTAGTTTAATACTTCCTAAACTTCACACGTACTGATAAGGAACTTTGCTTCTGGACTGCTGAACAACTGTCAACTTCATTCTCTCAACAGCCTTTAAAACGAAGGGAGACATTCTGAATCTCCACTTTGGGAACACTTACACTGCAACAACTAAACGATGAAATCAACTGGATGTGCACACAGTGATTATATTTCAGTGGTGGCAAACCTATGGCATGGGTGCCAGAGGTGGCACTCAGAGTCCTCTCTGTGGGCATGCAGGCCATCGCCCCAGCCAGGCCCAGACCATCATAAAAGTGTCGAATTCTCTGCCAAATAATTGTAAGTAAATGAAAGCATTTGGGATTGCTTTCCTTACTTTGTTTGGATCATCTTAAGTTAATGTATGAGTTTTTTCTAAAGTAAAACCTCAGTATTCAGGTTAAATTGCCGTGTTGGCACTTTGCGATAAATAAGTGGGTTTTGGGTTGCAGTTTGGGCACTCGGTCTCTAAAAGGTTCGCCATTACTGTTATATTTCTTTCATCTGGATAAGGTTTATATATCCGTGGAATGCTGTAACAAAGTTTTTTCCCGTTAAAGATTTGCTATGCTTCCCTTTCCCCCCCATCTGCTTCACAGCTTTCCCCCCCTTTTCTTTTGATACGCGTTGCATCACCCCCCCTCCAAACACTAGATATGAGGTTTGTGAATAGTCGAAGGCTAAAGGTAAAGGTTCCCTTGCTCGAAAGCCAGTCGAATCCAACTCTAGGGTTGTGGTGCTCATCTCCGTTTCAAAGCTGAAGAGCCAGCACTGTCTGAAGACATTTCCGTGGTCATGACTAAACACCAAGGTGCATGGAACGCTGTTACCTTCCCACTGAAGTGGTACTTATTTATCTACTTGCAATTTCTTGCTTTCGAACTGCTAGGTTCGAAGGCTACTGTTGCTTGAATATGCACACTCCAAGGGTTTTGATAGCCAGGATCAGGTATGCATGTTATAAGGTTTATCTTATTTCATTGCATTTTTTGTGTTCTTAATTGAAGTTAATTTTTCTCATTTAAGTAGCTTTCTTATATACAATTTTTACAGGAGGAGTAATTGAATCTACATTCTCTGGATGTGTGTGCTTAACATACAACCTACTTATTTTGCCACACAGAATATTTGGAATATATCCACCTGAACACACATAAGGGTCTCTGATCACATGTAATGGATGCAGATTTAGAGGAGTTTTTGAGGGGGGAAAGTGCAGCAGACAAACAATGAGGTTTCCACATTTTGAATCAATTAGTTTGTTAACCCACTGTGGTACTTCTGGAAGACAGCAAACTTCTAGCATGACTCCGTCATGGAGAAATAATTGCTCTTGAGGCAAAAAAGTGCAAAATGGACCCTAAAAACCTGAGATACACTATTCATAACTACCCCAAAAAAGTTAAATAACTGGCAACCATTTTAATTTTCATGACATCAGGAATGCTTTCCTATCTTAATTGGAGCTTCATGGTACCTGTCATACTTACAAAGTTTCATGTTTGCCACAACGTGCACAATTTAATTCTTACGGCTGTAACATTTCCACACGTTCAGAAAGCCCCTCCATGTGCTAGTGACGTGGCTCACAGGAGCCGGGGGTGGGGGGGAATCAAATGTTTAGCCAGACCAAAAGAAGACGTGGGTGGAAAAGAGGAGTACAAGACAGAAGGACGGCCCAACATCCCACATCTCTTCACTATGGAGGTGGGCAAGTTGGATCTTGAGCAGGCCATATGATCGCCTGGGTTTGCTGATTTCATCATTGTTGTGGATTTTATTAGGTTCCCCCAACTGCATTCTCTTGTTGCATGTTGATGTATTGATCACGAGGAGCAGAATGTAATGAAACTAAGACTTGCCATCAGCAGAAGAAAGACGTTCACAGGCTCCATAGCTGCAATGCAATATAAGACGTTAAGAACAGATGAGCAGCATTATCTCTTCCTTTCGAAATACGAAGCTGCCATTTGTCTACCTTGGAATGACTTCTTCTGATTGGCAGTGGCTTCCCAAGGTTTCAGAGATCTTTCGGAACATGAGAAAAGCCCTGACAGATCCCATCAAGTGCCCATCCTGTTTCGCCACAAGGGCCATTCAGATGCCCCTAGGAAGCACCTGAAGAGGCAATACCTTTCCCCCCACCGCTCTCCCCCACAACTGCTATTCAGTGTATCTCTGAAACTGGAGGTCTCACTCAGCCGTCATTAGTACCTTTCATGGATTTCTTTAACCCCCATTTAAAAACAATACCCATGATCACTCCTTGTTACTATAAATTCCAAAAGATGTGTTTTGTGCAGAAGATCTTTCTTCGTTCCTTCTGGAAACGGCTATCCTTCCATTTCAATTGGTGACACCCACCCCAGTAGAGTATTACGGAGGAAGGAGCACACCCCACACCCATCTCTCTCTGTGCCACGAATGACCTGGGGGACTGTCATGAGCACCTGGAGCGGCTGCCTTTGGAGCCAGAGGCCATATGGGTCTGTCGAGGTCAGTCTTGTCCAATCCGAGGGCAGTGGACAGCCTTTAGTGTCTCAAGTGTGTATGTGGGCGGGGGCGGGGGGTTTCTGTTGTGGGGAGGGGGAAGGGAAAGGAGTCTGTAAGCCGCTCTGAGACTCCTTCGGGTAGTGAAGGGCCATGGGGCATGACTCCAATCTCTTCTTCTTCTTCCCTCCCCCCACCTTGAGTTCACAGTGCTACTCTACTGAGAATCCAGGTGGACACAACTGAGGGCCAGACTAGACTGGGCCAGACCCATCTAGTCTGGCCTTGAGTCACCCGACGGAGAGGGCTCTGACTGAGAAAATAAATGTGTTAGTCTGACTTCAAGCAGGATATGACTCTGTACAACTAAGACAGATTGAAATAAATGTTGTAAGTCTTTAAGGTGCCACTGGACTTTTGTTTTAGGGTGCTACAAATTTCAAACCACTAGCCTTGACTTTCCAAATCTTGGTAGTAAAAGCCAACTAGCGTTTCCTTGGCTGAATGGAAGGGCCACTAAAGTCAACCTGTCCACTGGCCCCCCGTTTCCAGTAAATCTCCCCTTGCCAATCACTGTCCTCTACGGGGAGGACACAATGTCATGGTGGGGGTGGGGTGGGGAAAAGAATACTTCTGTACAAGGCAGAGGACACTTCCCCACTGGGGGCTCACTGGCAAAGCTAAAAGCAGCATGAGAGATGAAGCAGATGGGGAAGTCCCCAGTGTAGCACATTCTTAGCGGAGGAAGACCTGGGATTAGGCAGAAGCTTCAGGATTTCGCTGATTTCGGGAGGGGTGTTGAAAGACCTGAGTCAGATTGAGGTGATGAGAGAGGAGGTCCTGCAACTGATAGACAACTTTGTTGTTGTTGTTGTTCAGTCGCACAGTCGAGTCCGACTCTTCGCGACCCCATGGATCACCTCCCGCCAGGCCCAACTTAAAAACTGATAAATCACCAGGCCCAGACGGCATACATCCGAGAGTTCTGAAAGAACTCAAATGTGAACTTGTGGATCTCCTGACAAAAATATGTAATCTTTCCTTAAAATCTGCCTCCATTCCTGAGGACTGGAAGGTAGCTAATGTCACTCCCCATCTTTAAAAAGGGTTCCAGGGAGATCTGGGAAATTACAGGCCAGTCAGTCTGACGTCAATACCGGGTAAATTGGTGGAAACCATTATTAAGGAGAGAATTAGTAGGCACATAGATGAACCAAACCTATTGAGGCAGACTCAGCATGCGTTCTGTAAGGGAAGATCTTGTCTCACTAACCTGTTAGTGTTCTTTGAGGGGGTGAACAAACATGTGGACAAGGGGGATCCAATAGATATTGTTTACCTTGACTTCCAGAAAGCTTTTGATAAAGTTCCTCATCAAAGGCTCCTAAGAAAGCTCAAAAATCATGGGATAAAAGGACAAGTCCTCTTGTGGATCAAAAACTGGCTAATTAATAGAAAACGGAGTGAGTATAAATGGGCAATTTTCTCAGTGGAGGGTGGTAAGCAGTGGGGTACCGCAGGGATCAGTACTGGGTCCGATGCCAGTATCATACTGCCCCTGTCTAAATCGATGGTGCGACCTCATTTGGAATACTGTGTACAGTTCTGGTCACCACACCTCAAAAAGAATATTATAGCATTGGAAAATGCAGAAAAGGTTGCCTAGAATGATAAAAGGGTTAGAACACTCCCTATGAAGAAAGGTTAAAGTGCTTGGGGCTCCTTAGCTTGGAGGAACGATGGCTGAGGGGGTGACATGATCGAGGTTTACAAGTTTATGCATGGGATAGAGCAGGTAGAGAAAGAAGTACTTTTCTCCCTTTCGCACAATACAAGAACTCATGGGCTGAAAGAAATGAAACGAATCTCAACAGGGATAAATGTACAGTTCTGCATTTAGGTAGGAAAAATCAAATGCATAATTATAGGCTGGCGGAGACTTGTCTTGGCAGAAGTATGTACAAAAAGGATCTAGGGGTCTTAGTAGAACATACACTGAACATGAGTCAGCAGTGTGATGTGGTAGCTAAAAAGACAAATGCAATGTTGGGCTGTAACAACAGAAATATAGTGTCTAGATTACATAAAGTGCTGGTATCAATTTACTCTGCTTTGGTTAGACCTCACCTAGAGTATTGTGTTCAGTTTTGGGCACCACAGTTTAAGAAGGATATAGACATGCTAGAAGGTGTCACGAGGAGGGCAACGAAGATGGTGAGGGGTCTGGAGACCAAGTCCTAGGAGGAAAGGTCGATACCGGGTAAATTGGTGGAAACCATTATTAAGGAAAGAATTAGTAGGCACATAGATGAACAAAACCTATTGAGGCAGACTCAGCATGGGTTCTGTAAGGGAAGATCTTGTCTCACAAACCTGTCAATGTTCTTTGAGGGGGTGAACAAACATGTGGACAAGGGGGAGCCAATAGATATTGTTTACCTTGACTTCCAGAAAGCTTTTGATAAAGTTCCTCATCAAAGGCTCCTAAGAAAGCTCAAAAATCATGGGATAAAAGGACAAGTCCTTTTATGGATCAAAAACTGGCTAATTAATAGAAAACAGAGAGTGAGTATAAATGGGCAGTTCTCTCAGTGGAGGGGTGTAAGCAGTGGGGTACCACAGGGATCAGTACTTGGTCCACTGCTTTTTAACTTGTTCATTAATGATTTGGAGTTGGGAGTAAGCAGTGAAGTGGCTAAATTTGCGGATGATACGAAGTTGTTCAGGGTGGTGAAAACCAGTGAGGATTGTGAGGCACTCCAAAGGGATCTGTCAAAGATGGGCGAGTGGGCGTCAACATGGCAAATGGGGTTCAATGTGGCCAAGTGCAAGGTGATGCACATTGGAGCCAAAAATCCTAAATATAAATACACATTGATGGGGTCTGAACTGGCAGAGACTGATCAAGAGAGAGATCTTGGAGTTGTAGTAGATAACTCACTGAAAATGTCGAGACAGTGTGTGACTGCAATAAAGAAGGCCAATGCTATGCTGGGGATTATTAGGAAGGGTATTGTAAACAGATCAGCCAATATCATAATGCCGCTATATAAATCAATGGTGCGACCTCATCTGGAATACTGTGTGCAATTCTGGTCACCACACCTTAAAAAGGATATTATAGCTTTGGGAAAAGTGCTGAAAAGGGCAACTCGAATGATAAAGGGGTTGGAACACTTTCCCTATGAGGAAAGGTTAAGGCGCTTAGGGCTCTTTAGCTTGGAGAAACGACGACTGAGGGGTCACATTACTGAGGTTTATAAGATTATGCATGGGAAAGAGCGGGTAGAGAAAGTGGTACTTTTCTCCCTTTCTCACAAGACAAGAACTCGTGGGCACTCCATGAAATTGCTGAGCGGTTGGGTTAGAACGGATAAAAGGAAGTACTTCTTCACCCAAAGAGTGATTAACACTTGGAATTCACGGCCACAGGAAGTGGTGGCGGCTACAAGCATGGACGGCTTCAAAAGGAAATTAGATAAGCATATGGAGCAGAGGTCCATCAGTGGCTATTAGCCACAAGGTATAGATAGGGACTCTGGGGCAAGTGATGCTCTATGACATCTTGGTGCTTGGGGGGGGGGATCAACAGTGGGAGGGCTTCTAATGTCCTGGCCCCACTGGTGGACCTCCTGATGGCACTGGTATTTCTGGCCACTGTGTGATACAGAGTGTTGGACTGGATGGGCCTTTGGCCTGATCCAACATTGGCATCTCTTTATGTTATGAAAGGTTGAAGGAGCTGGGTATGTTTAGCCTGGAGAGGAGACATAACCATCTTCAAAGACTTATATATAGAGGATGGTGTAGAGTTGTTTTCTGTAGGCTCAGGTTGGACCAGAACCAACGGGTTGGAATTAAATCAGAAGAGTTTTTGGCTAAACATGAGGAAGAACTTCCTGACAGTTAGAGCAGTTCCCCAGTGGAACAGGCTTCCTTGAGAGGTGGTGGTCTCTATTTCTCTGGAGGTTTTCCAGCAGAGGCTAGATGGCCATCTGACAGCAATCCTGGTTCTATGAACTTTGGCATATCATGAGAGGGAGGACAGGAAGGGTTGCCTCGGTGCTTAGTCCTTGTGGCCCTTTCTTACACGCCCAGGGAAATACCGGTCACCACTTTGGGGTTAGGGAGCAATTTTTCTCCAGGCCAGTTTAGCAGGGATCCTGGGTGGTTGGGGTTTTTTTTTTGTCACCTTCTCTGAGCATGAAGCAGGGGCCGCTGCGGGTGTGGGGGGAGGTAGTTGTGAATTTCCTGCAATGTGCAGGGGGTCGGACTAGATGACCCTGGAGGTCCCCTTCAACTCTGTGATTCTATGATTCTAGAAACGCCAACCTTGCTGTTAGAACAGGGACAAGATGAGACAAGAGCAGAGTAGTAAGTCACACTCACCTGCTCCAGAACACTGGAGAGACTCCAGGCCTTCAAGAGACTCCAAGAATTGCGTCTCCAGCCAAGATGCGTAAGTTGTTTTCACCCCAACAGGCACAATTTCAGTTGTGGAATCCCTGAAGATTAAATCTGCTCCTTGGAAATCTGAGGAATCGAACATTTTAAACCCATGTCCATTGTAGTCATCCCCAAAGAAATCCTGAAATCCAAGCAGAGATTTCCCATTATACCGGGAAACTTCTCAAAGTTAACACATTTAAAAACATTTCCTTTCAGGCCTGGGAGATGTGTCAGAGATGTTTCTCTGGCTGCCAGCTTTCTTACAGGAGAGGCCGTTTTGATTCATGTCTGCACAGAAAGGGAGGTGTTGGCCCAGGCACAGAAGCGCATCCCGTCCTCACCCATACGAACCTGTCTGCAGCTTAAGATCAGCAGTGGCATATTGGAACTCCCTCTGCTCCCAGGAGCTCCCAGAGGGTGGGGGAGAGCGCACTTCCACCTGTCAGTCATTCTTTGCTGATGGCTGCATTCTTGTTTCTGTTCTGCTGCCTGGATGTCCTGACTGGTGTGCTGTTGTGACTTGTCCGTTGGCATGGGCTTCTACGACACCTTACCCCACGTCTGCTCTTCTGTGACTCTCAGGGTCAGGGCCATTGCATGTATTATGCAGTTTTCATTACTTTAAAAGTGGGATTTTAGTGTTTTTAGCTATGTGAGTTGGTCTGAGTAAAGGTAAAGGTTTCCCTTGCTCGAGAGCTAGTTGAATCTGACTCTAGGGGGCGGTGCTCATCTGTTTCCAAGCCGAAGAGCCAGCGCTGTCTGAAGACATCTCTGTGGTCATGTGGCCAGCATGACTAGACGCTGAGGCGCACGGAACGCTGTTGCCTTCCCACTGAAGTGGTCCCTATTTATCTACTTGCAATTTCTTGCTTTCGAACTGCTAGGTTGGCAGGAGCTGGGGCCAGAGGTGGGAGTCGCGTGGCACTCGGGTCTCCAACTGCCGAACTACCGACCTTCTGGTCTGGAGCTCAGCGTCTTGACCTCTGAGCCACCGCAGCCCCTGGTCTGAGTACCATTCTGATATAAAGACCTGGTAGAATCTTCCTGGGGATGGTGGATGCCGTAGCTGTTCCTCTGCAGCCACAGGTCTCGCTTCTGATGGCCACGGGAGAGTCACCAAAGACAAGCGAAGCATACTTGCGCGGTGAGTAGGGTTGCCATCCTCCAGGTGGGGCCTTGAGATCTCCCAGAATTACAACTGATCTCCAGACTGCAGGGGTCAGTTCCCCTGGAGAAAATGGCTCCACTCTCCAAACACTAACCCTTCCCAGGAGGACCCACCCCCACATCTACAGCAGGCAACCCTAGCAAGTGAGGGAGAAAGCGAGGGAGCTCCTGACCCCCCCCCCTCCAGGGCCTGCTTGAGAGAAAGTCTGCCATGGGCACGCGTAGACGGAAGCGGGCGGACTGGCACCTGAGCTTTGCTGAGAAGTCCATACACGGCCAAAGCATTGGTGTCTGGGTGGACCATGACAGCACGAGCCGGCACCTGGCCCCAGTGGCACCGGGCAAACTGGCGGACTTCAGCACGGGCCCCGTTGGGACACAAGAGCTGAAAGTCCTCAGACCGCAGCTGGGAGGCCCAGGAGGCTGTGTTGTTACCTGGAAGGGAGACACTGGCTCAATGAGGGGTTTAGAAGAGGGGAAGGGGGGGTCTAGGGGGCCGCGGCACACAGAAAACAGCATCGTACCATCTGTGTTTTCAAAGACTGAAGAGTGCTTGACGAAGGCCACATCTCCACGATGCTCAGCTAAACACCTGTGAAGAGATACAGCCACGGACTGCTTAGTGCAGTTTTATTACAAATGCAGGTGAATTCAACCCTCGCACCACCACCACCACTGCCACCACCTCCCCTTGGTCCCTGCAAAACAACTCTCTTGAATCTGCCTGATCTGGCCACTTTATCTGATGTGAGGACTGAGCTCTGCATCTCAAGTCCTGCCCTGTTCTCTTCCCCCCTGTGGAGGGGAAATATCCGTTCATGCATGGAGCATTTGCCTTCACGGGGGGGACACACCACTGAACGGATCCCCCAAGGTTCTGAATTCGATTCCCCACCCCTGCACTTGCAGCCAGCTGGGTGACTTTGAGTAAGTCACAGTTCTCTCTCAGAGCCCTCTCGGCCCCACCTACCTACACTGGGTGCCTGCTGTGGGGAGAGGAAGGGATGGTGATTGTAAACCGCTCCAAGACTCCTTCAGGTACCGAAGGGTGGGGTATAAACCCAATCTCTTCTTCCCCCCCCCCCGGGCTGTGGTCAGTATCATGTTTTGATTACTGTACGTAATATCCTTGAAGTATCTCAACCTTTCATAAATATATCTAGTCCAGAACTGAGCGTAACTGTTGTATGGTCCAATATCAGTGCCTCGCATGCCAATGGGTGCCCAAAAGCAAAGATAACCTGAGCAGCCGCCAGCAGAGGGAGAGGAAGCAAAGAGGCAGCCGAGGGACAAAGGTCGGGTGACCGATTTCAAAGTCAAGACGGGGGGGGGGGCAAAACCCCCACATCCCTTTGGTTGTGACGGTGTCCCCTGCTGTTCTTGAAACCAGCAGCTTTATTATTTAGTTATTTTATATATTTCTCCTTGTGCATTATAGCAATATAACAGAAAACAAGTCACTAAAACCAATACCATGATTCAGGCATGAGCGGCAGCTAATCTATAAGCAAGCAAAGAGTCATCAGAGGGCAACATACTTCTGACTCATCAAATACAAGAGTAAGCAAATGAATACCCAAAGCCTTTGCAAGAACAGCAAGGATCAGAATCCCAGGGAAAATAGCTCTGTTGTGGTATTTTGATGTATAATCCTTATTGTGCATATTAATCCATGTATTTCTGTTATACAATATATTTTATTAAATTTCAACTTTAAAACATAATGACATACATATACAAAGTGGTGCATTAAGTACTTAACAGTTGTGAAGCTGGCTTGTTACTGGACATTACAATAGAGGACAAGTAGTTAACTACATGGTTCATAGCATAGATATACACAAGATATATTTATAAACTTCCAACTCTTAGTTTTTAGAACAATGCTTAATAATAAATTTTACCACAGATGAAAAGTGTCTATTTCTTTTGGGATATCATCGAATTGTTGTAAATATTCCAATATTGGGAACCAGACTGCTATAAAAGAAGATTGTGTTGGAATCTTGTCAAGTCGCGTAAGGTTATCCGAGAGTTTAGCCATAATATACAAATCCCACAACTTCTTGTGCCAAAGCGAAATTGTAGGTGTCATTGTTGTTTTCCAGTGGGTTGCAATGACAGTTTTGGCTGCAAATAGCAGAATGGAGACCCTCTCCACCACTGAGGGAGCAGAGTCCTGAGCTACCCAACTGTTCAAAAATAAGTTTTCCGGCGTGGGTGTTATGTCTAAATGAACAATGCTGTTGATTTGAGTTAAAATGCTTTCCCAAAACGGGAGAATAATCCATGTATTTCTAATGGAGCTTTAATAAATGTGAGGATGTCAAGAAATGTCTCTCCTGAATTTCACTCCCATGTCCTAGTTAAAAGAAGACAATGGTTTTACTGTGATGGAATGTGGCATTAACCACATATGCTATGTCGTTCATGTATGGCATTTCACAGACTCATAGAGTGGGAAGGGCCCTCCAGGGTCATCTAGTCCAACCCCCTGCACAATGCAGGAAATTCACAAATACCCCCCACACCCCCAGTGACCCCCTGCTCCACACCCAGAAGAGGGCAAAAAGGCCTCCAGGATCTCCAGCCAAACTGGCCTGGAGAAAAATTGCTTCCTGACCAGTGCTCCCTCTAAGCTGTGGAGTCTTGTGAGCAAAAATTCTACTTTGTGAGCTGCTGGCATTAAAGTTGTGAGCAGGCGATTTGGCTACTGCATAAATTAGTTTGCTCTGGAGACATCCTTCCTGAGCTAAGACAAAAATGTGTGAGCCGGAGGCTAAAAAACTGTGAGCTAGCTCACACTAACTCAGCTTAGAGGGAACACTGTTCCTGACCCCAAAGTGGCAATCAGCATTTCCCTGGGTAAGAAAGAGCCACAAGAACTAAGCACTGATGAGGCAACCCTTCCTGTCCTCCCTCTCGTGATCTGCCTAAATTCATAGAATCAACATTGCTGTCAGATGGCCTCCAAAGGAGAGCCCACCACCTCCAAAGGAAGCCTGTTCCACTAAAGAACAGTGTCAGGAAGTTCTTCCTAATATTTAGCCAAAAACTCTTCTGATTTATTTTCAAGCCGTTGGTTCTGGTCCAACTTTCTGGGGCAACAGAAAACAACTCCACCCCATCCTCTATATGATATGAAGATGGTTATCCTATCCCCTCTCAGTCATCTCCTCTCCAGACTAAACATACCCAACTCCTTCAACCTTTCTTTTTTTTTATGCCCCCCCGTAGGGGATTTTTTAATTTGCATTTTCTATAAACTACAACGAAAATTAGGGAGAAAGTAAAGAAAACCCATCAGAAACCCAAGAGATGGTGGTCATACATACTGCTTAACAAATTAGCTTTTAGCTCAAAGTTTGATTCAAGTTCATTGAATGTGGTCATCTAGTAGTCAATTTATACTGTAAAATAAATTTAAACACTACCACTTCTGACTTCTTAAAAAGCAGCCTAAGAAATAATCATAACAATACATTGTAAGAGCTTTCAGAGTGTAATAAGATCTCATTTTTTATACTTTCCCCCCCTCAAAAGATAGCTTGTCTTTGGGACGACTGCCCCTAATTTGGAATCTGAATTCTCATCTGAAGATGCCGCTGCTCCTCCTTCTTTGCTTTCTTTGGTGCTATCCTCTTTCTCAACTTCTACTTCTCCTGATGGACGGCTGTGTTGGTGCAAAAATTTGCATGCCTTTTCAACAGAGTTATTTTTTTCTTTCATGTCCATGAATTTGAAGATTGTGCCTTCGGGGACAATCCATCTGTATGGGATGTTATTCTTTTGTAAAAATATCACCAAGTCTCTGTATTTCCTTCTCTTTTTTCTTATTTCAAATGGTATGTCCTTTAACACTTTTATTTCTTTGTATTTGATTTTCAGGGTAGATCTATTTGTTGCTTTGAGAATTTTATCTCTCACTTGTCTTCTAGAGAATCTTATAACCACTTCCCCAAGCAGATTATTTTTTCTTGTAAATTCAGAATACGACCTATAGATCGTATCTATTTCACTTTGTAGAGTATCCATTTTTATGTCTGCCATAGGGCCTAATACATCACACATAGTCTGTTTCAGATTCTCAGTCTTTTCTTTCGGAACACCGTGAAATCTTACGACATAGCTTGCTTTTTCCATCACCTGCAGTTGTTTTTTAAGTTTTTTTAGTGTTGGCATCCACTTCTTTTACTTCTTGTTCGGTTTTATCTGGGGTTTTTTGCTATTTCCGTTAATTGCATTTGCTGTGCATCGAATTTGCTATGCAATGCCATGACTTGTTCCAGCAGGGTTCACAATGCTTCCGTCAGCATCTTTTGCAGCTCTGTAGTTGTGTCCTGTCTAGGAAGAGGACTCACTGGGCCAGCAGTTCTGGCAAGTAGCTTAGGTTTCACTTGTTTGTCTTTCTCATCTTTCCTCGTGGGCACCATGTTTGGGGATTGTTTACTTTCAGTAAAAGTTATCACAGTCTCTGATACTCTTTAAAACAGCTTGGTAAGTTCTTAAATGCTTTTTATTTCAGTCTGTCTTGCTTCACTAGTCCATCCCCCTTTTTGTAATTGCACACAGTTTGCTTAGCTTTTCTTAGTGGGGAAGAGTTCCCTCCCCCCCCCTCACTTTCAAAGGGGAAGTTTTCGACTAGCTCTTCGGTGTTTCTTGCTTAGGCTCCAAATCAGGTTTCAACGATAAATCCGCTTTCATTTTAAATTGCTCGGCCACCAAGCACTTGCTCCGGTGTGCGATTTCTGATTCCCATTTGGGATGCTCCATGGTGGGACCTTCGGGGCATAGAGAAAGCCCCCCCTTCACCGGCAGGGTCTCTGGAGGAAGAGCCTTCTAGCGCCCTGTGCCTGGGAGCCTCATGCGGAGGCTCCGGGGGTGGTGTGGACAATTGCCCCCCCTCCTCACCACGGGCCCTGGCCAGTCATCTCCTGGAGACCAGGAGAAAGCGGCTGCCATGGCGAACGCCAAAACCGGAAACCTCCTTCCACCTTTCTTCATAGGACCTGGTCTCCAGACCCCTCACCATCTTCATTGTCCTCCTCTGGACACGTTCCAGCTTGTCTATATCCTTCTTAAGTTGTGGTGCCCAAAAGTGAACACAATACTCTACGTGAGGTCTAACCAGAGCACTGTAAAGCACTACCATCACTTTGCGTGATCTAGACACTATACTTCTGTTGATACAGTGCAAAATGGCATTTGCCTTTTTAGCAACCGCATCACACTGCTGACTCATGTTCAGAGTCTGGTCTGCTAAGACCCCTAGATCCTTTTCACACATACTACTGCCAAGACAAATCTCCCCCAACCTATAATTCCGATATGAATTTAGTTTTTGAGCACTTTAATGTTTTAAATGGGTTTTAAATTGTACATGATGTTTTAATTGTACTATGGTATTGATGTTTTATTAGCAAGTTTTTTTCTTGCCTTGTAAGCCGCCCTGAGCCCCACGGGGAAGGGCGGGGTATAAATTTAATAATAAATAAATAAATAAATAAATAAATATGCATTTTATTTTTCCTACCTAAATGCAGAACTTTACATTCATTCATTCAATTTATATCCTGCCCTCCCTTGCCAAGG